GAGTTCTTTATATCCTCATTTGAAGCTAGGGTTTCAGGATTGACGTTTGTCTCTGTTTGACTTTGTTTTTCAGATCTTTGCTGTGGAGGGATGCTGTGGTGCTTCTGTCTATAGCACCATGTTGCCCGGAAGTCTCATGACATTTTTGAAATCTTACTTTCTTCACCTGGGTTCCTTGATACATGTTCTCCTACTCATGATTCCCAAACATATATCTCAAGCCAAGACATCTCCCTTGTACTCCTGAACTCCAGATTTGTATTTATGACTGCCTGTACAACATCTGGAGCCCTGGTTGTGTAGTGGTTAAGAGCATGGCTGCTCACCAAAAGGTCGGCAGTTCGAGTCCACCAGCCACTCCTTGGAAACCCTATTGGGCAGTTCTACACTGTCCTATAGGGTCACTATGAGTCAGAATTGACTTGATGGAAATGGGTTGTTTTCTTTTTTAGTACAACATCTAGGGGAGCAGTGGTAGCTTAGTGGTAGAATACTCGCCTTCCATGCAGAAGACCCAGGTTTGATTCTCAGCCAATGCACCTTATGTGCAGCCACCATCCATCTGTTAGTGGAGGCTTGTGTGTTGCTCTGATGCTGAACAGGTTTCAGTGGAGCTTCCAGACTAAGACAGACTAGGAAGAAAATCCTGGGTGATCTACTTCTGAAAATCAGGTAACAAGAACCCTATCGATCACAACAGTCTGATCTGCAACCAATAATGAGATGACACAGGACTGAGCATGTTCCATTCAACTGGCCATGGGGTCCCCATGAGTTGGGGTGAACTTGATGGCAGCTAACAACAACACAGCACTCTGATGTCTAAAAGGCATGTCAAACTGATCATGTCTAAAAACAAATTCCTGACACTTCTGCTACAAAAAAAAATGTCTTCCCCATATCAGTAAATGGTAATCTCACCCTTTCTGTTGCTTAGGCCAAAAACCTTGGTGTCATCCTTCTTCCTTTCTTTTCAACTTCACATCCAATACTTTAATAAGTCCTACTAGCCCCAACTTCAAAATATAACTATACTACCACACCTTCCCACCACTCACCTCTGAGTTCTCACCACCCCACCTCAGAAACTGTCAGGGCCCATGGCGTGGAGGCTTGGAGGCTGTTACCAGCACTGTCTTCTGTATTGTTCGCAGGAATCTTCTCTTTTCCTGGCTCTGCTTCTACCTCCCTCCCCACAGCATAGCCCTTGACGAGTGTCTAGGATTTCAGAGAAGAAAAGCCAGGAAACAGGTTATCTTTAAGCACTTCTGCTCTATCCTGCCATAATGTTCTGTGGCAAGGGAGACCAAAGTCTGGTTATACGCTTGGAATCAGGAGAGGGAAGACTATAGGGGAAAATTAACATTTCAACAAATTATCCTACCAGTCTGAGGGTCAGCGCCATCAGCACATGCAATACACCAAGACACTCACATGTTGCTTGTCACTTTTCTCCTTCCTTTACCTATCTCACAGGATGCTGTAAGAGATAACTCATGTAAAATACTTAACAGATTATATAGTACTTAGTAAGCACTCGAGAAAACATGGATGAACCTTAAAACATTATGCTGAGTGAAATAAGTCAATCACAAAGGAACACAAATTGTATGATCCCACTTATAGGAAATATCTAGAATAGGCAAGTGTATAGAGACCAAAGTTTATTAGTGATTACCAGGGCTGGGAAGGAGGGAGGAGAAAAGGGGTACTTACTGCTTAGGGGACACTGAGCTTCTGTTACAGTGATGGGAAAATCTGGAAAAGGATAATGGTGATGGTTGCACATGATAGACATAATTACTGTTACTGAATTATACATGTGAAGAATGTTGAAATGGCAGATGATTTGTTACATATATATTTACCACAATAAAAATTATAGATATTGTTAGGGTAAATGAAGATTTTATATGGACTTTGCATCTAAGGCGCTCGTATATAAAAATTATTCTTTCTTCTACCAAGCTAGTTCTCATTTTTTGATCCAGAGGACTTATATACTACCATAGAGTTTGCATTTCCTGGTGTTTTTCTAGTTATCTTCTTGTTGTTGCTGTCTAACTTAATTCTTCTGCAGCAAGAAAGACCAAAATCTGGCTACCTGCTTGGAATTGAGAGAGAGAAAACTATAGGAAAAAAAAAAAAATAACATTTCAGTAAATTATTCTACCCAAGGTAAAGAACAGTTGCTTTTTTAAAAGAGCATGTGGGAAATTGATGTGGAAGTGGCAATGGGAGTAAGGAAAACACCACCACTATTTCCTAACATTGAGGTCTGTTGCTTTGTGTGCCATTGAGTTGATTCAGACTCATAGTGACTCTATAGGATAGAGTAGAACTTCTCCATAAAGTTTTCTAGGCAGTAATCTTTTTTTTTTTTTTTTTTTGAATTGATTGTGCTTTAGGTGAAACTTTACAGTGCAAATTAGTTTCTCATTTAAAAATTTATACACAAGTTGTTTTGTAACATTGGTTGCCATACCCACAAAGTGTGAGCACTCTCCCCCTTTCCTCCTTGGCTTCCCTGTGTCCATTTGTCCAGTTTTCCTGTCCCTTCCTGCTTTCTCATCTTTACTTTTGGGCAAGTTTTGCCCATTTGATCTTGGATGCTTTATTGAACTAAGAAGCACGTTCCTCACATGTGTTACTGTTTGTTTTATAGGTCTGTCTAATCTTTGGCTGAAAAGCAGACTTTGGGAGTGGCTTCAGTTCTGAATTATAAGGGTGTTCAGGGACCATAGTATCAGGGATTCCTCCAGTCTCTGTCAGACCAGTAAGTCTGGTCTTGTTTTGTGAATTTGAATTTTGTTCTACATTTTTCTCCCAATCTGTCCGGGACCATCTATTGTGATCCCTGCCTAAGAAGTTGGTGGTGGTAGCTAGGCACCATCTAGTTCTTTTGGGCTCAAGCTGGTGGAAGCTGTGGTTCATGTGGTCCGTTAGTCCTTTGGATTGATATTTTCCTAGTGTCTTTTGTTTTTTTAATTCTCCTTTGCTCTGGACAGGATGGGACCAAAAGATGTATCTTAGATGGCCACTTGCAAGCTTTTAAGACCCCAGACATTACTTACTGAAGCTTCTTTATGAACTATGTTATGCCAGTTGACCTAGATGTCCCCTGAGACTATGGTCTCCAGCCCTCAGCCCCAGCAACTCAGTCCCTCAAGGTGTTTGGATGTGTCTAGGAAGCTTCTATGGCTTTGCCTTGGCCAAGTTGTGCTGACTTCCACTGTATTGTGTGTTGTCTTTTCCCTTCACCAAAGTTAACACTTTTCTACTACTTAGTGATTTCTCCTCTTCACCTCTACCCTCCCTCGTAACCATCGGAGATTGTTTTTTTCTGCGTGTAAACATTTTCCTGGGTTTTTATAATAGTGGTCTCATACAATTTTGTACTTTTGTGATTGACTTATTTCACTCAGCATAATGTCCTCCAGATTCAGCCATGTCATAAGATGTTTCCTGGATTCATCATTGTTCTTTCTCGTTGCATAGTATTCCATTATGTGTATGTACCATAATTTGTTTATCCATTTACCTGTTGATGGACACTTAGGTTGTTTCCATCTTTCTGCTATTGTGAATAATGCCACAATGAACATGGGTGTCATATGTCTATTAATGTGACGGCTCTTATTTCTCTAGGATATATTCCTAGGAGTGGGATTGCTGGACCGTATGGTATTTCTATTTCTAGCTTTTTAAGGAGGCACCATATCATTTTCTGTAGTGGTTGTACCATTTTACATTCACACCAGCAGTGCATAAGAGTTCCAATCTCCCCACAACCTCTCCAGCATTATGCTGTAATCTTTATGGGTGCAGCTTACTAGGTCTTTACTCCTACGGAGCGACTGGATGGCTCAAACCACCAACCTTTCTGTTACTGGCCGACCGCTAAACCACTGCACCACTGGGGCTCCTTCATTGAGATATATGAAGTCTGAAAGGGACACAGTGACTTCAGGGGAGAGGCGGTGTAGTTTAGGCAAAGGAACACTCAAGGCAGCTGAGTGGAGAGTAAGGCATGTGCACACTGGGCATGAACCAAAGGAAACAGGGCAAGGGTACAATAAGACAAAAATTATTAATGTTCAAGTGTTTCCAGAATTTGATGATAAGTCTGTGGTTAAATATTGTAAAACTCAAGTTTCTTTAGCAAGCAACTATCATTTCCTATAATAAATAAGCATTAGTCTTAAGAGTAAAGAAAATACAACCTTTGCAATCAAAGTAAAATCTCATAGGTGAGCTGACCTTGAAAAAGAAATTAACATCATGACAAGATAAAGTAACTATGAATCTTACAAGAAAGTCTCATTCCTCTCAACATGCCTACTGTTTATTATTTTTTTTTAAGGGTAACTGACTTAAATATTTTTTCAACTTCTAGATAAGGTATAAAGTCTACCTCAATGTATTTTATTGTCAAAATTCAACACTTCCCAATATTTAAAATGTAGCGATTATAAACCTGTGGACATTGATTTTAATTTTTAATTTAATCAAGGTGGGATAAAATGTTTGGAGTTTATAATTTTTACTTTAACATTGATCACACCACCCTCTATCCCTCTCCCCAAGCCTTTAATACTTCAAGCAGGCTGCACTACTTGCAGGCTCCAGTCCTGCCAAGATAACCTACTTGTCCTTCCTCAATGGGCATCCTGTCTAGAATGCCTCCCTCCCTCCCACTCAACCACTCAGCAGACAATTTAAGCACCCATGGCATTCTGTACGTGTTTAACACTTAGAACTCTATGTTCTTTTTTTAAATCAGTGTATTGTCTTGGACATCCTATGGTAGACTATAGGTGATTTGAGGGCAGATCCTGTGTTGTAGCCATCTTGGTAACCCCAGTACCTAGCACGTGGTAACTTGCACACAGGTGGCTCTGATATACATTTCTGAACAACTGAATCCGGGTTATCCTTGCTACCCCAGGAAGCACCAGGTGTCAGAGTAGGCAGAGCAGGACCTCATATTTAACGAATGAATGAATAGGTGGAATATGTGGCCTATTCCAGAATTTTTAGAAGAGTTAAAAGAATTTTCTAACATTAGAGAATATTAGGACATAACTATTAATCCTGTTAGTTAGCAATGACTGTGGTTAGGCAGAAAAAAATGTCCTATTGTTAGAAATGCATATTGAAGTATTCACAGTGAAATGCCATGATGCATATGGGATTACTTTAAAATACTTCAAGAACAACAACAAAAAACAGATGAAGCAATATGCAAAATATTTATTATTATATGCAGGTCTGTGTATATTCCAGTCTAGTCTAACACTTAAAATGTAATTGGCAATATGACAAGACTATATTAAGAATCTGGAAATTAACGTGACAGACTTTAGGTAAATCAATAGTAAATAAGTAATGTCAATATTCTAATATGAGTGGATATGACATGTTTAGGAAAGTATAATATAGTGTAACTTAAAAGAAACTGAAAATGGTTCACAGTAAGTTAATCAAAAGGCAGCATTCTAAACTACTTATGAGGGTGCAGGGAGGAAATCTCTTACTTAGGAATAATTTATTCACATTTAAGAAAATAAATTTCAAATACTACGTGAGACAATGTGATCAATTATTTATTTCTATTTAGGGAAAATAAATTTTTCTTCACATATCTCCTTGAATATGTGAACATTTCTTGTGATACATGTAAAACCAATATGTTCACTGACATAAATAAATATAACTAAATTAATATTACAAAAGAACAAGATTTACAATTTGGCTATGAACATCTCACTTGACAAATATAAAATATTTTCTTATGTTAATATTATAATATCTCTGGGTATTTTTAAAGACACTAAGTCAAAGAAGACTTCTTTCATTGGGCTCTTCTTCCAAAAAAGATTGTCCTAAGGACAAAATTGCAGGTGATACATCTTACAACTAATAGGCTAAGTCTTTGTTCCTTACCTGTATTTATGTAATAAAGCAAGAATTATTCTTTCATTCTGTACCCCTCCCTTGCCACCAACTAACCCAAGAAACTCAACACTCTTGGGTTATTAGCATGTTTTTCCTTTAAAGCATTTTGCCAACCCATTTGGACTCATTTTAACAGGATAAGGAAAGATGAAAATGCTTTACAGTCAAGGATTATTTTATAATGAATGTGTTTCAGCTCTCTGTGGCAATTTTGCTTAGAAGAGACTGTTTCAGTTTTTCATTTGTTTGTTTTTGGTATCCAATTAAAGTTTTTTATTTATCTTCAATATCCAATTGATGTTTTTAATTTTTTATTTCCCTTTTAAGTAAAAATAACTTTACCCATCTAGTGAAAAAAAAAATCACTCATTTCCTTTTTTTCTTGCTCATATTCTAGGCGTAAACCCAGTTCTCTACTTCCCTAGATATTTAGGAAAGCGATCACTCTTACTCCCGCCAGTTCTATTGTCAAGAGGTTTAGGCATGTTCAGAATGTGATTCCAGGATGAACTCTTTTCTCCTTGCTTCGTTGACATCGCTGTGCATCTTAAAGACAATGACAACATGCACAACAAACAGCACTACTGCAAATATTGTGTCCACTCCTCCAGAAAGTTCTAAGGAAACTAGAAATTCTGTGCACTTGTGTGCACTTTCTTCTTAGCTCTTCTTTGGCTAAATCAGCTAGCCAATGGTTACTAGCATCATAATCAAAACTGTCAATGTTATACATATGTGTCCTGAAAGTTAAAAAAAAAAAAAAGAAGGTTAAAATAAAAATGATTTTCTTTACTGGTGATAAACTTAATTTTTGAGCTACTGTGTGAGAAAAGAATTGGTAAGTTAATTTGGGATGCAAAACAAATGCAAAATTAGTAAATTATAGAGTATGGACAATGTCTGCAGACCATGAGTGTAGTAGCCATTTAAACACCAATTGAGTTTTTAGTTTCTTGAGATTAATAGTGGCCAAGTTAGAATCAATTAAGATACTTTCAGATTAAAAGTCACCAAAACCCCCCTGAAAAAACTTATGCTACCTATGGGTTAGAGGAAAGGCTGGTCAAGAGGAAAAGATACTTAGAAAGTTTCACAATACATTTACATCAAGTTATTTTTGTGAAATAATTTTGTATAACAACATAAAACAGATGTCTTTTAAGAATATAAACTTGACATATAAACGATGCTTAAAACAAATTTTCAGATTTCCTAAACACTCAAAACTCTAAAAGCCACCAGGCAAAAGGAGAAACAAATACAATACGTAGGCCAATCATCTCATGATGCAGATAGTCACAATGAAGGCATTTCTACTGAAAAGCCCTAATGTAGCATCCTTTGCAAGATTCCCCAACCCAATACTTGCAGCATTGTTAGCATCTAATCATTACAAGAAACTGAGTGCAAAGCACAAGATGAGATGATGAGCATATCCCTGAGGAGTCACAAACTGGTGATGTGTCATGCTAATGAGAGATTCCATGTGTTAGTCAGAAAGGCAGATAAACAAGTCTGTCAATAACAGAGGCTTAAACTTCTATAGGGTCACTATGAGTTGGAATTGACTTAACGGCAACAGGTTTTCTTTTTTTTTTAAAAAAAAACTTCTATTATCCACTAATTGGAAACCCTGGTGGTGTAGTGGTTAAGAGCTACAGCTACTAACAAAAGGTTGGCAGTTTGAATCCACCAGGTGCTCCTTGGAAACCCTATGGGGCAGTTCTACTCTGTCCTATAGGGTCACTATGAGTCGGAATCAACTCCATGGCAATGGGTTTGGGTTTTTTTTTTTTTTTAATCCACTAATAGTTGTAGATAGAAGCCCTGGTGGTGAAGGGGTTAAGAGCTCAGTTGCTAACCAAAAGGTCAGCAGTTCGAATCCACCAGCCACTCCTTGGAAACCCTATGGGGCAGTTCTACTCTGTCCTGTATGGTCGCTATGAGTCAGAATTGACTCTTGGCAGTGGGTTTGGTTTAGATAAACCCTCAGCCAACTGTATTGACGGACATAACGCAAACTATAGACATGTGATTGTATGAAACCATATACCTTTTATAATTTACCAGGTCTTACTTCTGATGCACCACCAATTTGTGATAGATAAAATTGAGGCCTTGTTCTCGTATGTATTATAAGAGCTAAATAGTAGAGAAGGGGAAAAACTAATTGAAGAATATCATTTTAATTTCAGTGAAAACATGAAATCAAACATTTGCTTACAATGTCCATCCCTTTCATAAACTAAAATGTACCATATAAACCGAGTACATTTAAAAGAAGTAAATAAATCCTTCCACGGGCAAACACAAGGATCACCAAATGAAGCTACATCGTCACCATCGTACTCATTAACTATTTTCCCCTGCCCTGATAAAGATCAAATTTTTAAATGAAATCAATATGAAATCAGGAGAATCACCAAGCATCATAGAGTCGGCTCTCACCCTAGACAGCTTATACCTCAAAATAAGTCAAGTGGAGTGTTTTTTATGTGCACGTAAAAAAGGCAAATTCCTTCTTATGGGTTTGCATGCAATTTCCTCTGATTCACAGATTGAGGAATGAGGTTTGTTGCAAAATCCCAATACGATTCAAACAAATATTCCCTCCTTCAACTTCCCAGCACTTTTCATTCTGTTGAAAATATCATGACCAATTTTCTGACCACAGTATGGAAAGAAGCTGATGGAAGCCAAGAGAGAGCACTTGGGGAACTCAACACATCCTGCACCCTCCTTCCAAGTCCCAAGGTGCTGGTTTTAGAAGGTGAATTGGTAATACTCTGTTTCAAAAGGAGAGCTGGGATGAACGCAAGAAAGTACATAAGATTTGTGGTTTAATTAATTTTCAGAGTAATTTTGCTGAACCATCTCTGTCAACTTGACGCGCTTTATATGACTTAGAACTCATAGTTTTTTGCTGGGCTCTAAACCACATTCTTAAAAAAGTTTCTGAAAAGTCTCAAGAGCAAGTTATATTTTATTGCTTTTCATTTTATAGCACCTAACATATTTTGTCAAATTAAACAAATGCCTGTAAAAACTATTTAAAAAAACAAAAAACAAAATTGGATCTAATGGTCAAATATCTTTACTACAAGGTTGAACCATTTAGTGGTTTAAAGAGCATTACATACTTTAGCTTAAATAGGCTTAAATAATATTGTTAATTAAAGGAGAAAGAAGATTTATAGAGGGTGAAAAGTACATAGCTCACATCACCCAAAGAATTAAAACAGGCAATTTAGTAACATCATTAAATATAGTTGTTCTTAACTAATTAATGAAAAAAAAGAGACAAGCATTAGGGAAGTTTAGAAATAAGTCTATATGGACTCCACAATAAGCTTTTCTAACAAAAGAAAGCTACCAAACAGAAGAGGTTTCAATTTAAGTAATCCTCTTTTGTCTATAGGATATATCAGGGCCAACCATGACATTTGTACTTAATGTATGTGAATTCAATGCAGATCAGATATTTCAAATAATACTGATTTTTTTCTGTGTTGTTTTTTTAACATCTGAACGCTTACTATGTGCCAAACAATGTTGTCACCTCTTTACAGGTGCCACTTATTTGATACTTACTACAACTCCATGAGGTAGGAACTCTATCTCTCCCATTTCACAAATAAGAAAACTAAGCCATAGAGAGTTAAGCTGCTCAGAGTCACATACCCAGGATGCCAACTGAGCAGTCAAGCTCCAGAGCTCGCCCGCTTAACCACTAGGCTCTTTTTGGCTAGATGTGGCATCCAGTAATAAATAAAACTCAGCAAAAGACCTAATCCCAGGCAATCTAACAATATATTAAAAACCCCACCCCAGTGCCATTGAGTTGATTCCAACTTATAGTGACCCTACAGGACAGAGTAGAACTGCTCCATAGGGTCTCCAAGGAGTGCCTGGTGGATATGAACTGCTGACCTTTTGGTTAGCAGCCATAGCTCTTAACCACTACACCATAATATATTAGAGTTTGATATTTCCCAGACTTCTTTGTTTCTGTACAGCACACAGATACTAAAATGAATTGTACTGTGTAGAAAAAAGGTGAACTGATTGCAACAAGTGAGACTTTGGCTTTCAAATTACTTTCCTTTGAAATGTGGTTAGTGTCTTTGACTGTACTGAGAAATTTTTAAAAATCACACACATACGCGCACTCATGCAGAGTCTGTTTATCCTGGGTAGTAATTACAGGCAAAAGAAATGAGGAGATAGCATGTCAAAATATGCAAAAATGCTAAGAGAGTTTACCTACTGATATATTATCATGTTTTACTGAAAGAAGCTAAGAATAAATTTTTAAAAAATCATCAGAATTTCTGCTCACCCTGATTTTCCATAGTCCCAGATAATTTTGACTAGAATTAGGGTACCAATTATTATACTACCAGCGATCAATCCTTGAGGGGGAAAAATTTGATAACACAGTTAATAGAAACACAAGCAATGACATATACAATATAGTTTCACAGTGACAAACATACTGCATATGAAGCAACTTAAAAAATAAGAGACATGAATTACTTTTTGTATATGGCTTCCTTATATCACAAGTTTGACAATAAGCATGGGATGTTATTTGTCCTTTTTTCTTTCAAAGAAAACTGAAATAAAATATTTATAAAGTATCACAATTCTCAAATAAAATTTGTTTGACAGGTTTCAGGAGGATTCTAAAGTGTTTCAATCTCACCACGCTCAATTTTAAATGTTCTGGTCACTCAACTATGACGACTGAATTATGTAAATTTACAGCTAAAGTATCTTGGAATTCGTCTAGTCCAACTGTCTCATTTTGTAGATCCGTGAATTGAGTCTTAGAAAGGTGATGGTTACATATAGGTTCATAACAAAGATAACAGATATGCAGGCATTTCCCTTTCAGAGAAACACGCCCATACCATCCTCTTTGGAGCAGGAGGGTATCATGTATTTACTTTGCCTATAGAATATGCTTTTTAGTGTTCAGTCTTTTGTAGAGGAAATTTCATTTAAGAAAACAAATATTTAACTGTAAAATTAAAAGCACAATTTTGTTCAAAGAAAAGGAAATAATTGGTCAAATAAGTTGGCCAACAACAAATAATTTTTATAGCTTGCACAATCTTTCTTCTCAAAACCATCCTTTTGCCTTTTCCCCTCACCACCCAGAGTCTCTCTTTTGCTCACCACACTTCCCCCACCCAGTGTCCCTGGACTCTACTCCTTTAATCTGTACTACAAAATAAATTATAGATGGCAGTAGAAAAACAACTGAAGCTAATTTGACTAATAAGTACATTGGGTACCAAATCAGCAAAATATAGATGTCATACAATTGCCCAGCCATATAGGTTAATGTTTATTAAAAAATTCTGGGTCTACTTAGGGTTCCAGAGTGAGTTAAAAAAATGAAGACCCTTGGCCTCAGAGGATATCTGCAGACTCAATCCATTAGCAAGCCTCGTTTTTAGTTCCCGTGCTGTCCTGTAGCATTCCAGATATGTTGATAAATTCAGTCTCATCACCCAGAGTAGAATTTTTATATGTCTCTTCATACTCTTACAGCAGCTATTTCTTTCATTGGTAAATTTTTGCGGTATTTTACCCAACCAATTTCTTAACTGATCCCTAGTGCTGTATCATTAGCTTAGAAAAACACTGTATCCATAAAATAAACCATGGCTCCTCATAAAGCTTGAGTTTCTCCTCTTCTCACCACTTCCCATTAATCTCATCATTTTCAAAC